TATATATATATATATATATATATATTACACGAGAAAAATGAACTTACAGTGATGAAAATTGCTTGACTGACCAGAATCATTGTGAAGGGAGCAATGCACCGTCGATGGGTTGTGTATACTAGGAAACTGGCCAAAAATGCTGAAAAGCAGTCTTTGGTAGTCGGAACCACTGCATCATACATCAAGTAGTTCTCACACGATTCTTTTCGGAGGAATACAATTAATAAACCTAAAAATGAATATTCGGCCACCGCATTTCCGAAAACCAAACCTGAAGCACAGGATATTGTTTGACATGAAGGTTAGTTGACCAATTACAACCAAAAAAAAAAAAAAAATCAGTTCTGCCTCTTTTAATTGAGTTTCACTTAATTGTATCTTCAATTTTAAAGCTAAGAGTACCTGATAAGAAAAAACTAGCCTTGGAGAAGAGGAGGAATCTCCGCCAGAGGTGAGACAAGTGGCTTTTAAGCTCTGCCATTTGGTGAGCCATCAAGGCACAGTACTTGTTTGTTTGGAAACTGCCACAGGATTGAACACTGACAGAGCAATTTGAAGAAGAGAGGTATTCTTAATGATATCCAACCAGCCGCCTCATACGTTCAAGTGCGTATTTTGCAGGAAGAGAAGAAGAAGAAGAGACTCGGATCATCCGGATGCTTCGGTACAAGGATTCAAGCAAAAAGTGCTATGACTAGGGGGATTTAGGTGTCCATAATTCCTGCCAAGGAAGCTTTTTCAACACGAAGGTTTATCTTCAACAGGGAATTAAGAAGATATTTAGGATGCTGATTTAATTCATGCCTTCATGATCTTTTTGGTCATGGACTCATGGCGCATATCTTTCAGCGTCCAGAGGAAAATGCATGGTGAGGATGTTTTTGTGCTTGTGCTGATTGGGCTAGCTCGAGCAAAGATTGATGGAGTTAGATTTTCTTTTTTCTTGATTGTGGTGCACACCGCAGATTGATCGAGTGAGAAATTAACACCCTTATCGATCTTTTTAAAAAAATACTTCAAAGTCCCATGGATACATCCAATTTCTTTCAGCCCAATCAATTTGCATGTTAAAAGCATAGCGCGCACTACACCAGGGGGATGACCGTACGTTTCTAAAAGTAAGTAAAGGTTAATAAAGGTAAGGGGGCCAAGGGGCCGGATGCCAAGAAGTGGACTGCCAAAGGGTGCGGGCCAGCTATTAGCAGGTCCCAAACGCCACCCATCTCTCGTCCCATTCCCTTGATAATTTTTTTAGGAGGTCCAAAATAGGATATTTTGTTGTTAAAAATATAGGGACATTGAATCACAAGCATATGATAAAATGGAAAGGAGATCCCTTGCCTCCCTTAATTTCTTTTTCTTTTGGTAGTTCAAGGCCTACATATATGGGTGACTAATCAAGGGCATCGAGGGCAGCAAGAATATTCCCTTCGAGTCTCCCACTTGCAATTTGCTGGTGATACTGTTATGACGGCGGAGAGGCTGATTTGGACAATCTCTGGAATGTTAATGGTGTCTCGAGATAGTTTGAACTCTTATCTGGTCTGAGAATTAATTTTAAGAAGGTTAAATGCTAAATTTGGTCTCTCAATTTTAGTGAGTTGCACATTTTTTGTCCCTTAATAATTTTTTGCACTTTTTTGATTCCTAAACTTTAAGAAATGCACTTCATTAGTCCTTTTGTTAATTTCGATCGTTAACTCGCTTGTGTGGCATTTTTTATAATTTTTTTGATGATGTGGCAAAAACAAATTGAAAACGTGTTGATGGTG